TAAACCGCCAACAATCAAACTATCCCTATGGCTTTGAGAGGCCATTTTGCGGACGAGGGGTAATTCAGGGAAATAATAAAGATGTTTAGGAATAAAACTAGCTTAATAGTTGGATTTTTTTACAAAAAAAAACCCTAGAAGCAGATAAAAATATGTACCCCTCTGTCCCGCTATGATTGTCTTATTTTTTCTTTTCGATTCGTCCCATTAAAATTGTCATATACCAAATTTGGTGAAACTTGTGTGATTCTAAATCATTTATTCTTTATTCTTACTTTATCAATTCAATATCGACCATATAATCTCATTTTCTTAATTATTGTATCATCTCATAATGTCTCAATGTTAGTGAAAGGGATGTAGTATATCCCAGCTTGCAACTTTTAGCTTAAAGTTGGTTCAAATAGGTACAAGTTTCAATTTAAAAACAACACCATTTTTAGCTTTTTGGAAGCTATATATAAGTAAATAAGTGTTTTCAAGCATTGCCAAAAACAATCTTAAAAAACATGAACTTTATAGAAAAACCTAAAATTTTCAATTTTAATAATTGATTTTAATTGTAATTTAAGTAAATTTCAATTGAGGATATTTTAGTGTGTCAATCATACACTAATAAAGTAGATTTAGGGGCGGGGGTTACGTTCGACGACAAATAGAATGTGACTATGTTGATCACTAACAGAAGAGATCTTAATTAATGAAATAGATAAGACTGGATCTAATTTTAACATCAAAGTCATTAAAAAGAATTATTGTACTTCTTTTACTTTATCCTAAGTTGAGATTAATTAATCGCTAAGGATTTGAATGGTATCATTTCAGTCTTGTCCACAAATCCTTAAGTTGAAATTTGTTGGGTACATGTGACCAACTCTTAGCATTGGCACAATACTGCCTTTTAATCCACTTTAATAAAGCAACTTGCACATGTGCTACTAGATAAAGGTAAGAAGATCTCAATACTTTTGTTGCACTCTAATCTAAAATTATTATTTCAAAAAGTGTATTACTTTCTCTGTCCCGCTAAATTTGTTCCAGACACTACTCACTTGATCAATGTACACAAATCACTCTTAATCTCTTACTTTATATATTAAAATTTTATCAAATTTGATTCTGGTTTTTGCGACTTTGTAAAGTTTTTAATGTAGTTTCTGAATATGTAATTTTTTTCTAAAAATAATTTTAGTACGGAAAGAGATCTTTTTGGTTTATCATCAATCAAACATCATAAACAGAATTATCCCAAACTTAGTGGGACGGAGGTAGTTTAATCAAACATGGTAAACCGAATTGGCTAATGGGGCTTTTTCAGGTCTCTTTCACGGGAAAAATTGGAGATGGATCTCCTTCGTCATCTAATCCAATAATAATAAAGGCGTCGACCAAAAACGAATTCAACTGATTAAATTGAATGCAACTAAAATGAAGTTTTGACTAAAACTCTTCCGGATAAATCGGTTATTCTGATTCAAATTAATTTTTCTTCTTCTATATTAGGGAGTATTACATTATTATTTCACGTGCTACTGAGAATTGGTTAACTTTTATAGAATGGTGGGAATATTTACAAGTTTTTATATATAAGGGCATCCTCATCCATTAGATTATTTAAGGTATAATTGAATGGTGTGGAAGATTATTTGTAAGATTATCATTGTGAGTGAGAGCTTATTAAGGGAGATTATTGAAAAAGAAAATACGGTTATACGGTAGCAAGATTTGAATCCCGGTATCATTAGATTAGTAACGAATTATTAAGGGAATTGTTTTTTCGGAGTAGTTAAATTGCATTTAATGCATGGTCTAGAAAAAAAACTAATTATTTGAGATTTGAGATTATTTGAGATGTGACAAACCAAGCATTCCAGCCCAACTGGTTCTGAGGTTATCGAGCCTAGTGGGAGGTCTCGAGTTCGAAACCCGCTAGGCACATAAGGGGTTGAAACTCATTCCAGGCCCCCAACCCCCCTCCCCCAGACACTCCCTGGAATAAAAAAAAGTTATGTAACAATGATGTGTAATAGAAAAACCATTTATTTTAAGATTGCTCTAAAATAATATGAGAAACACGCTCTCTGCATGTATTAATTTGCAATTGCAAAGTTTCAACGACATTTAAGAATTAGATAATAGATACTCCGTAAACATTAATGGGGCAGAGTCCGCAGAGATGAAAAAACTAGTGCGAAAACGAATATGAAGTTGTAGGAAAATAAGGATAGTTATGTATTTGTAATATATACTCCTCCGTAAGGAACTAACCAAAATACGAAAATGCTCCAAATAATAAAATATTTTGGAAAAGGAATATGCGAGAGGTAAATAATTAGGGATAGTTATTTTAAGAAATCTCAACTAAGAATTAATCTAATTTTGTTTGTCACTATATTAACCAAGTCAGCTCATGCAATTAAAAGTAAGTTTATTATACAAATCTAACAAGTTGAAAAGTATGACAATAAATTAAATGGTCACTAAATTAATTAAACCTCCAAATCACGTTTCTGAAAACACATTTTTATCACTGAATTCATATTGTTCTGTTAAGATAGAAGTGAATAAATCATTTCAAACCAAACAATTTAGAGACAAAAAACGTGCTTGCACAAAATGTGAATTTGTTTTAATTAAGCAAATGGCCGACATTCATGACTTCACGAGCTAGGCTTTGGAGAAAAAGATGAAGATCACAAAAGCAAATGAGATCGAATTGTTCATTAAAAGAGAGCTTTGAATTAACTCAGTAACTTTATTCGTAAGAGCAATCAACATTGGAGAATGATTTAAATAATTGTAACGCCTTCCGTATTTATTTTTTATTTTTTGACCGTAAAAACAAACCGCTTATATTAATATTATTAGAAATCGGATCGTTACACTAAACTAAAAAAGACCACCCCTCACAAGTCACAACAATTATCTCTAACCAACTAACACTATCAACCCTACGGCTAGACTCAGAGACGATCACCTCTAAAAGAGCTATACGAATCGCTAACCATCAAGTGGGTGTGACTCAACAATCACTGACCATATAGATCCTTCTAACGACATAATATCTAGCAAAACTGTCAATCATAATTGTAGACCTAAAACTAAAGACATCAACAAAAAACAGAGCAACATAAAACATAACGCGAAAATAAAACCATAAAAAATTAAATAACGAATAAATCTTCCAAACCCAAGCACCTCGATTGCTCAGCCCTTCACCTCTCCCCGTCTTCTCGTCGCCCGTTCCGCCTCCACTACCACCACCGCCCTCTACCCATGTTGATTCGCCAGAAACTAACCCTTTGACCTCCTCCTCAATTGCAGGAATGAGACAATACTGCTTTAGATCATCCATAGAAGAGATGATTATCGTTTCTTGAACCTTGGATTCATTTCCAAATGCTGCAACCGCACTCACGCCTTCTTAAAAAGCACTCTAGAAGCCTGGAGATCGAATAAGAGCCGCACAAACAATTGGCGGAAGTAAACCTGGCCTTACGCGATGGCAAAGCCGCTAGGGAGATAAAACCGTACGCGACGCTAAGCCGCTAGGGAGAAAACTGACAAGTTGCTCCTCTTTTTCACCTGGAGCTTTATCAATGATCATTACACCAACTTTTACTTTTTAAACTCATTTTTTTAAACGCTACACTCCGTATTTAGTTGTTTAATTAAAACAAATGAGAGTTATTTAGAAATGAGATATTTAAGAAACATGCGTACGTAACCAAGAAAATCTATTTTCTTATCATAAGAAATAGACCAATTATTATTATGATTATTGGTTTCTGTTCGGTGAATCATTATAATGTATACTGTTTAATGCTACACACTGTATGTGGTTAAGATTTGTTTAGAGGTGAGAGAAATGACAAGTGTCAAAAATTGATTAATTAGAAGAGAAAATGATAAAATTTGGACAACAAAAAAGGAAAGAGATAAATCACTTGGTACCTTGCAATTGATCTGCTTCCGGCTAAAGAAAAAGGAGAAAGAGGGAGCAATGCAAGTTATTTAACTGAAATCAAATATAATTCCCAGCCACCGCCTTTAATTTCCACTGAAATACGTAGTACATAGTACGTAGTATATACTCCATCCGTCCCAATTTGATGATCGCATTTCTTTTGGGCTCAAAGATTAAAAAAGTGGTTGAAAAGGTAAAAGTTGTGGTTGAGATTTGAGTAGAAAAAGGTGAAATGATGTGGATCACATATTTCTTTTCAAAAAGGGAAATGAGACTATCAATTTGGGACGGCCCAGAAAGGAAATACGGGATCATCAAATTGGGACGGAAGAAGTATCATTTTCGAACAAAAGTTTTGGTCCAATAAATATTCAAGGTCGACAATTGCTGTAACTATGAGAAAAGCTTGATTTTAAAGTTGGATCGAATGACGAGTAACCCAAAGAAAACTTTATAAGAATAGAATTGTTCTCATCTTCTATTCTTCTAATATGGATATTTTTATCAGACTGCGTAGTATTTTACTGTTTCATATTTCAATTTCAATTTTAACCTTACCACTTGACCAAAATTGTATACTTGGATTGGAATCTTTGAGGTCTGATCTAAATCATCCATCATGATCAAATCTCATCAAATCTGATGCTTATTTACTAAACTGAATATTTCTTTTATTTTAAGTGTTTTTCAAAATCAATGTTATAACAATGAACATATGTGTTAAGATCTGGAGTTTCATTCTAAAAGGCTAACCATATTTTAATATAACACTTCATTCCTTCACAAATTTCCGGTGTGGGAATTCAACACCACTCCTCATGATCAGGGGCGGAACTACCCTAGGGCTAGGGGGTGCCCTGGCCCCTGCAATGAATTTTTTTTTTAAATATATATATATATATATTAATTTTTATTAAGTAGTGCCCCTGCAGGCTGCAGCCCGATTCCCCCTTTCCCAGTTCCCACTTCTGCCTGGCCCAATGTATTCCCTATTTCCCACTTCCCAGGAGCCCAAATCCTCAAAGCCTCAACAGCCCAATCCCCCCTTTCCCTTTGAGTTTGTTCGGCAGTTCACTCAAGTCAGCAGCAGCCCCGCATCCGTCAAGCAAGAAGCGACTGAACCTACTCAACTCTCAAGCGAGTGAGCGACTGAAGCCCGGAGGAACTCCCAGCGGGTCAGCGACGGCCGACGCCCAACTGCCCAAGTCTCGATGGTCGATGGAGACTGAGTGACTGTCCTCGTTCGCCACTGGTTCCCGAGTTGCCGCCTTGCCGGTATGTTTTAATTTATCTTTTCTTTTGACGGTATATTTTAATTGTTGATGAATAATGAATGATTTATGCTTCATTGCTTTGTAAATTGTATATTTGTATTGTATATTAGAACCACGGTGCTTCATTTGTAACTTGTAACTTGTAAGATTGACCAACTAGACATTCATTTTGAAGTTTGGTTCAACTTTCAAGACATAAGTGGATTTAGTTGAATCTCTTAATTTTTTAAAAATTGTTGTGTCTAACATGGTTGAATTATTTGAACTTTTAATTATAATTTAATTTATACAATTATACAAATTATACTCATTTTATTTCAATTGTAGTTGGTCTAGGTTGTTTGACAACCAATCGCTATGTTACGATATTATCCGGTCGTTCCGCCAAAACCAAAACAGCCTAGTATTGACGTTTCTTCATCGAATAATTTAGTTTCTTCATCGGAAAATGTCATTCCTAACAATGAGACTAATGTTAAAAAAGCTCGAATAGAGGTTGAATTGTCGGATGATGACATTGTTGGTGATCCTGGATTGCGTAAGCCGATTGAGACTTATGATGTTAATATTAGAGACAAGTTGAGGAGACGTTATTTGACAAAAGGTCCTTGCCAACCGCGCGACTTTAAATTCCCACAAAGTGATTTTAATGGGCGCAACAGATCATTCCAAAAACAGTGGTTTGATGAATTTAATTGGTTGGAGTATAGTGTTGCTAAAGATGCAGCATTTAACCATTTGTGTTATTTGTTTGGTAGACATCATAAAAATGGGGATGATGCTTTTACTGAAGTTGGGTTTAATAACTGGAGGAAAGCTAAGGAAAAATTCCGTGACCACGAAGGAACTCCAGAAAGCATGCATCATTATGCAAAAATTAAATGGTCTGGGTTTCAAAACCAAAAACAAAATGTGGATTATGTTTTATCTCAACAAACCAAGAAAGATGAGCTTGAGTATCGGTTGAGATTAACAACTATTGTTGATGTAGTTCGATTCCTTTTAGAGGGTGGTTTGGCTTTTCGAGGTCACAATGAATCAGCTACTTCTACGCATTCTGGTAAATACGGTTTACATTATTTACATTATTTTTTATTATTTATTTCATTATAAAATTGTAATGGCTATTGCATTATTTATATTTACAGGTAACTTTCTTGAACTCTTGAAATGGGAGTGTAGACGGCATCCACATATCAATATGGTAATGAACTCAAATGCTCCTGGGAATAGTCTACTAACCTCTCCTAAAATTCAAAAGGAGGTTATTAATGCTTGTGCAACTGAGGTAAGACTAGCTATTATTAATGAGGTTGGTAGCAAGTTTTTCTCTTTGTTGATTGATGAGGCTCGGGATAGTTCCATAAAAGAGCAAATGTCTGTGGTTATAAGGTTTGTTAACAATTGTGGGGAGGTAATTGAGCGATTTTTGGGAGTGGTGCATGTTAGTAACACTTGTGCGCAGACATTGAAAAATGCCATTGATGATTTCTTTGCAAAATATGGTCTTTCGTTGTCTAAGGTTCGAGGCCAAGGTTATGATGGGGCTTCCAATATGAGCGGTGCAATTAATGGCTTAAAACAAAAAATATTGGAGGAAAATAAGCAAGCTCATTATGTTCATTGTTTTGCTCATCGCCTTCAGTTAGTGATTGTGTCCTCTTTGAAGAGCAATGGAATAATTGGTAGTTTTTTTGATCATCTTTTAATGATTGTAAATGTGGTTGGTGCATCATGTAAGAGAAAAGATGATCTTTTACAAAAACATTATGAAGATCTTGTAGGCCGTATAGAACGTGGTGAGGTTAGCACGGGCAAGGGGAAAAATCAAGAAAAAAGTCTAGCACGGCCAGGTGATACTCGTTGGGGCTCCCATTATAAAACAATCATTAGAGTTGTTGATATGTGGGATGCGGTCATTGAGGTGCTTGAAGCTATATTTGATGATGGTGTTGATCTCAAAAGTAAGTCCACTTCTTCCAGTTTGATTGAAAAAATGGCATCCTATGATTTTGTGTTCATTGCACATTTCATGTTGCATTTATTGGGAAAAACTAATGTGCTATCAAAGGAATTGCAACAAAAAAATCAAAACATAGGCAATGTTGTTGATCTTGTCAAGGCCGTGAAGTCCGATTTGGAGAAATATAGGAATGATTATGGTTGGGATTTGTTGATTAAAGAAGTGGCTACATTTTGTTCAAAGCATGATATAAATGTACCTAATATGATGGATGTCAAGCCAGGACGAGTGAAAAGGCAGAAGACAGTTGATGGTAGTCCGAAGACTTATTTACACTATTTTCATGTTGACATTTTTCTCGAGGTACTTTTAAGAGTTTTATTCTTTACTTAATTGTATTTAAATATATTTATTTTGTTATTGTAATTAATTATGTTTTTTAATATAATGTTAGGTTATTGATCGTCTTACTCAAGAGATGAATAATCGTTTTACCGAGACAAGTTCGGAGCTATTAATGTGCATAGCATCGTTGAGTCCCAAAGACTCGTTCTCCAATTTTGATGTGAAGCGACTACTTCGTCTTGCCGAATTATACCCAGATGATTTTAGTTCAAGAGACAAATTTGAACTAAATGAACAACTTAGGGTGTTCATTACATTTGTCAAATCATCTCCACAGTTTTTAGGCCTACAAACTATTGGAGATTTGGCAAAAACATTGGTTGGAACAGAGTGGCACACAACTTATAAGTTAGTGTACCGACTCATTCAATTGGCATTGGTTTTACCTGTTACAACCGCCACAGTTGAAAGATCTTTCTCGACGATGAAGTATATCAAGAATGATTTGCGCAACAAGATTGGAGAAGAATACTTGACAGATTGCTTGGTGTGCTACATTGAAAAAGATATATTTGTTAAAATTGATAATGAAGTCATTATGAGGCGATTTCAAAGTATGGCACCTCGAAGACAAAGATTGCCGCCTCTCAATGATTCTCCTTCGGTTGACGCGTCATGTTCTAATCAAAATTAAGGTACTGTTTAAGCAATTACTTTTATAGTTTTTTTTTTTGCTTTATTCATGATGCATATGATTTTTTTAGAGTAGTATATAGTTTCTTTGTTATTGTGCCCCTGCGAGCCACAAATCCTGGTTCCGCCACTGCTCATGATTAGACACCATCTAAATCATGTCATCATTCATTTCTTCATCAATTCATTATTGTTATTTTTTATAACTGTGTCATTTTTTCATAAGGAGGCCCACACCATGGACGGATTTGGCTCCGATACCATGTTAAGATCTGGGGTTCCATTCTAAAAGATCAACCTGATAGGAGGAGTAATCCAGATCTTAATATAGCACTTCATTCCTTCACAAGTTTCGGGTGTGGGAATTCAACAGCAGGGGGCGGCAATAGGAAAATTCTCACGGACTGAGAGGAAGGCATAGCAGGAGTTTGAGAGTGTCGGTCAGACAAAGTTCTTCCTTGTAACTCAATCCCGACAAGATCCAATTAGGGTTGTGCGACTGGAGGTCAAGATGATGGCGATTGGCATTTGGCGGCGCATTTTTTTGTGGCGAAAGTGGAGGCTTGACAGAGAATACGATGAATAAGAGGTAAGGTGATCGAGGAAGAAGTTACAGTTTTGCTGGCTCGCCCCCATCCTAAACCGCCTCCGTAGAGTGCAAGAGAATCTAGCATTTGAAAGAAAATGAGTGAACTCTATGGCTCGCCTAGCACAAAGATGAGGATCTTGAAGGCGCTACATGAAGAAGGCGGAGCGGGGGGGGGGGGGGGGGGGGGGGCTCCATCAGTTTAATTACCTGCTTTAATTTCTTTTTATTTAATTTAAGTTTTTGTAATTAAGTACTCTGTTGTTAGCGTTATCATTGTCTTTGGGGGAAGTAGGTTTATCTATTGCTTTTTTGGCGAGTTATTATTTTGTTTGGAAGCAATCAGGTCGTGTTGACCGATAATAGCTTCGAAGTTCTTGCATGTTTAACGATTAGTCACGCTTAATTTTGGGTGCTCTATTCTATCACTACAAGAATTCACGCGATTTAGTGGCGGAATATCCGTCGCTAATTCCGCCACATAAACCCTTAGTGACGGAAATCACTGACGGATCGTCCACTAGTAAATTCTTGAAATTATTTTGTTTTGTGGTGGATTTTCGAATCCATCAGTGATTAGAAGCGGACTTTTGTGGCGGATGGATCCGCCAACAACTTCAGTTGCAGAATATTTGTCACTATATATTGGCCGAAAGCAATTAATTTGTATTTACAAAAAAAATATACTTCATTTATGATTTGCTCTTAATTCAATTATTACTCGTATTATTTTATGACTACCACAAAACAGTTCAGAGTAATTTATCAAATCAAAGCATGAAAACATAAATTTGAACCATTAAATATAATTAAAATCAAATATTACCAAAAAATAATACTCCGTATATTACTCCGTAATAGCTTAGAGTTTACATTAGAATCCAGGTCATTATTAAAGCCTCAACCATGCTAAATCCAAAAAAGCGTGCAAGTCACTATAAGTATCTAGTGTTACATATCAAATCCAAAAAACATACATATCATCACATTAACGTGGTTTAAAATGTTAAAGCCATTTCAAAATTAAAGCTATACATCTAATTGGATAAAGAGTCTTCATGTGACTGTTGAGAGCCTTGAGAGGATAAATCTTGTTGTGAAAAGAAGTTCGGGCATCAATTCCATGTGATTTGAAAAACGGAAGCCATGTTTCTTCAAAACTCTTAGGTTGTAACTTGGGATTCTCATTTGTCAAACTTTCATCCACGAGAGGCATAAGCGGTGGAGCCTCGTGACCATGTGAAGACAACCATTGTCTCATTTGCTCATCCCAAGCAACACAAAAATCATGCAAGCGTTTTGACGAACACCCTTTATGATTTGACTCTAATTGGAGAACAAACGCTTTGGTATACCTTCCCGTTACCAAAACCCATTTCTTATTGCACCCAACCACTTCAAAATACTTGAAGTGCAATTCAGACATTACAACTTTTTGATGCCCTAGAAATTTTAACTTCTGGTGTTTGATGTTGACTTTCAGCTTCATGGAATGTAGCAGACAGCTTCCTAATAACCTCATGTGCAAACAAAATGATGCAATTCACTCAAACATTTGATACTCTAATAAAAAAAAATCTGTGGAATACATGGTCTACTGCACCTACTAAGATCACCTTGTGATCCGTCAACGTCACAATCAGACACAAAAACTTCAAATTTCAAATACTACAAAATTGAAAAGAAAACACTGCCATTTTTTTACAACAACGACACAACTCACAATTGCTCAGAAAATCTCAAAAAATGTTTACAGATTTAATACCATAAACTACGTGGAAAGTGGTGATCTAAAACAATCTTGATCTCAATTCTTACATAAATAAAGTTACCAAATAGAGTAATTATCCAAAAAATATCCGAACAAGTTAAAAATAATCAAACACATATCAAATCCATATCAATGCGTTTGAGCAAATTGGATAGTAGCAAGAGGGGAAGCACGGAGATAACGTAACTAAGCAAATCAAATCCTCATAATCAGTTGAATTCGCAATTAGAAAACAGTGCAAGTATATACAATGCATTTACACACTCAAAGTAGGGGTTAAAATCACAAAAAAAACAGTCGTTATATATAATGCATGTACACACTCAATACACAGGCTAAAAACAGAAAACACTACCCGTATATACAATGCATTTACACACTTAATAGCAGCCTAAAAACATAAAACACAGCTCATATATGTACAATATATTTACACACTCAATAAGGGGCTAAAACATAAGACATTGCCCGTATTATATGGCCAGATAAACAGAAAATAGAAAACACTCAGTGCAAGTGCTAAAACAAAAAATATTGCTTGTATATACAATGCATTTACACACTTAATGCAGAGGCTAAAAATAGAAAACACAACCCATATATACAATACACTTAAACACTCAATGAGGGTCTAAAAACAGAAAATATTGCATGTATTATATGACCAGATAAAGGATTGAAAGCTTCATATACATATTTTGTCTAAAGCACTTGTTTTTTAGCTACTTAAATATTCAACATTTTCTCAAGCTACAATAACATTCAAATACGAAGAATTCATTTCAAAATAGAGAGCCAAAAAGCGGAAAAGTAATTACATATCATAACTTCCGGTTGTGATGAATAATCGATTAACACTCCATTCTTCCTTTTCTTTGGATGGAAGGTCTCACAATGTTTCACATGATTTATATGTTCACCGGTAATCCTCAACCAAAACAAAATGCAAAACCATCATCCAATGAAGCAACTAAAATTTGAGACATATATAAAAATAAATTTAATATTCACCTCTTGGCCTGCCACATCAAACGCAGCCTGAGAACTTCCATATTGTTTACACTTGTCCCCACAGGCAATACGATTCCTCTTACCAGAAATAGATGTCGTCTGAAATTGCTTAGATCTCTTATATTCTTCAACAGCATCCCAAGTGAAGTCATTCATTGTTGGAGACTGTTTTCCCCTTCAATGTGTAATAAGAATATACCATTAAATTCCAAGTTAATTAAATAAATTGAATAGTAAAAATAAATAGCATTCATTGTGCTCATCACCTGATATCACTCATGATATTGGAGTAAGCACGACTCTGTATATACTTTTCATAACCTTTCTTGATGTCTTCAAGTTTGAACTGAGAAATATTCCAAAGTGACAACATCTTATATACAATCAAAAGAAAACTATCAGATAATTAAGCCCTCCTACTATAGTCAAAATTGCAATTAAGCCCTTGTACCTAAATATGACCAAATCAAACACCTCAACTTTTAAAAAAAAATCTCAAATAAGATTTTTAACCGGTAAACCATAAGTTTCCGGTCAGTTTGTTTATGTGGTATCTACGTGGCTTCTCTGTCAATTACATCCTTATTCGGCCCCACCACCCATGACTCTTGCAGCCAACGTAGACCAAGTCTCCTACTTCCGAACTAGCATTTGCAATTGAGAACAGAGCCAATCATCTTCCATGGTGGATGAAGTTTAATTGGGTTTCCTTCACGAAAAACAATTGTGTTACTAATTTCCTCCACATCGTCATTCCTGAGCTTGTCGGGAGTTGGAGAAGACATCCCCTTCTTCAATATTTTCTTCTATCTTGGAGCTTAATAGAGTAGATCTCAAATAAAGGAGTTAGATGGGTGGCTTGGTGTATATATCCCCGTCGGGGAGCACAACAGCTTGGGCCCAATAACCTTCGCCTTTGTTTTCCGGTAACTTTTTGCAGTTGCTGCGGGTCTCCTCTCCCGCTTTTCTCGATGTCACTGCGTATGACCTCTTGCCGGAATCTGGCATTTGAGGGTGAGCAAGAAGAATAAAGCTAATGCACGGTAACACGATTGATGTGTTGTTCGGTGTGTGTAATGTGTTCTAACGGTGGACTTTGAAAAACGCAAAAGAATTTAGCAAATCTTCCGGTGATGAACAAGGATGTTGGCATTGATTCATTTGTATTAAAATTAATATATCTTGTGTGGATTATTAGTCCATATGTAGTGCCACATGTACATATTAGCATATCAACATGTTTACTACCGGTTAAAAATCTTATTTGAGTGTATTGTAAGAGTTGAGGTGTTTGATACGATTGAGTGATATTTGGGTACGAGGGCTTAATTGCGATTTGACTATAGTACGAGGGCTTATCTGATAGTTTTCCCTACAATCAAACCTTCAATCTTAAGTATCAAACTGTATATTTATTAGTTTTCAGTTAGGATTCATTTTTATAAGAGGTATTAATTGTTTTAAAGAATTCCGTTTATAAAGTCCATATTAATTTAAAGAGTTCAGTTTATAATGACCATAAAGTTCAAAGAATTCAGTTTATAAAGTCCTTATTAGTTTAAAGAAATCAGTTTATGTATTGTTTTAATAACTGTTAATGGAGTTCTTATTGTCAAAAGTTAAGAAAACACGTACTATAGGAAAAACAACACATATTACTCACATGTACCTGGCCTGGAATTGTTCCCAATATAACTTTTTAATTCTTTTAGGGACTCATTTCCATTGTTGTCCAGCTAGATGAAGATTATACTTGATCTATTTTGAGACATTTGCTTGAAAATTTAGACTGGTTTTGGTAAGAGATACGTTGATTAGGCTACATATAAAGTATACATTATTTATCAGTGATTGTATAGTAACATTAAAGAATTATGTATACACATAAATAATAGTTAATATTACACTTACTTTCCTTGGCATTTACACCGACATTGGGTGTTTCAAATTTCGCCGCCGAAAGAGATCTGATAGGGTCTAATGGATCTTCACCCCAATTAAGATGACCGTACACGTTGGGTTTCCAATCAATGAGCTCAGTTTCTACATCTACATTGTCTTCTACATCATCTTGGTGTTGCGGTTCAGAAAATGTTTGAGTGGCTTGTTGGTGGTTTCGAGATTGAGAAATAATCGATTGCTTGTTATTTAATGGTATGCCATTCTGCCTAAGGCCCCAAAATACAGTATATTGTGTAGGAGGTGGTTATGGAGGCTGCCTTAGCTTGTTTGCCCTATTTTTTTTTGGAAAAACAATTTTATTCATATAAAATAAGAGTACAGTGCAAGAAAACAAATAAAAGTAAAAAAGTACATAGAAGAAAAGAACGAGTAAAAAAAATAAAGAAAGGAAAAAAACTAGACCGAAGGAAAATCTCTGGATTGCGATCTAGTCCTCATGCTGTGTCACCTTTTGTTTTTCTGAGATTTCCTGTAAAGTTTCAGTTGGGTGTTCAGGTTGTCTGTTGGCACAAAATTTTCTGAGGTGACAAGCATTGATTTGCGGCAAATCGATCTGTTGAATTTGGAGTTCACAATTTCTTCCTGATTTGATAAGGGAGGACGACGATCGCTTTCTCTAGCATGTCCTAGAAAATCGTCTGAGAAGAAAGAGTCATCAGAATGATCAAAGTTGTCTGATGCATTAAAGTAGGCCTGAATAAGTGGTGTTTGTGGTTGTTTCTCAAAAGAGA